TTATTAAACTTTATTTGAAAAGGGACCATGTACAATTTTAACATAAATGTTTCCATTTCATGCATTGTACCGAATTTAGCCAATGGCTAATTTTCATCCGCGGTCCCTTGGCAGGTAATCATAATCACAGATAGACATAAGAACAGAATAACAAACACATACAATACAGTAATACTTATACACATTCCATCAGAGCCAAAAAAGAACAGTAAAAATAACGTTCAGTTAAGCCACAACTATATCAGTGTTTACAGATTTGAGTTGCTTTTAAATAAAATTTTAGTTTTAATTTAAACATGTCAATAGATGTGCACATCCTTATGTCTTCTGGTAGAGTGTTCCAGTGAATAATAGCTTTCACTGAGAAAGATGATAACCCAAAGGCAGAATGACGAAAAGGAACAACACAATCACTAGTAGATGATGATCTAGTAGATCTTACAGAGACTGTAGAGCGAAAATGCACAAAATCACGAAGTACAGAAGGGGCTAAACCATTAAAAAATTGATATACCATACACAAATTTGAGAAAAGTCTAAAATTATCAAAGCTCAAAAAATTGTATTTCTCCAAAACCCTACAGTGGTGATATTGGTTAGGCTTTTTGTCCAAAGTTTTTAAAGTCTGCTTATAAAGAGATTTTAAAGGTTTGATAACAACTCCTGCTTGACTCCAACATGTCAGACAGTACTGTATGACAGATGAGAAAAGATTGTAGCATGCATAAAAGTCTTAGCTACATCAGTGGGTAGACATTTGTCTAAAATTTAACAAGTTATATTTTATAGTCCTCACCATTTTCTTTACATGTTTTTTAAAACTAAGGGTTGGATCCAGCGTTAAACCAAGATAATTAAACTCAGTAACAATTTCTATCTTTTCACCAATTATAAAATATCTTCCTTGGAAGAACGCATTTGTTTTAGAAAAAACATCCCTCTAGTTTTTACCAGTGTTCAAGGTGAGACACGGTTGCTCTAACCACTGTGTAATCCTTTCCATAGCAACATTTAGCTTTTCAGCTGCTAACTCTGCTGTTCTCGCATGTGTAAAAATAACAGTATCGTCAGCATACATTTGCACTTGTATCCCTTCGCACTGCTGTGGGAGATCATTAATGTACAAACTAAATAATAAAGGGCCTAATATTGATCCTTGGGGTACGCCCATTGTACAGTTTAAGTTATTGGAGTGAACCCCTTTAATTTTTACACATTGCTGTCTATTTGATAAATATGATGAGATCCCTCACCATTTTCTTTACATGTTTTTTAAAACTAAGGTTTGGATCCAGCGTTAAACGAAGATAGGCCCAATTAAACTCGGTAACAATTTCTATCTTTTCACCATTTATAAAAATATCTGAATTGGAAGAACACACATTTGTTTTAGAAAAAAACATCCCTTTTGTTTTACCAGTGTTCAAGGTGAGATACTATTGCTCTAACCACTGTGTAATCCTTTCCATAGCAACATTTAGCTTTTCAGCTGCTAACTCTGCTGTTCTCGCATGTGTAAAAATAACAGTATCGTCAGCATACATTTGCACTTGTATCCCTTCACACTGCTGTGGGAGATCATTAATGTACAAACTAAATAATAAAGGGCCTAATATTGATCCTTGGGGTACGCCCGTTGTACAGTTTAAGTTATTGGAATGAACCCCTTTGATTTTTACACATTGCTGTCTATTTGATAAATATGAGGAAATCCATGCTAAAGCCCCAGATGAAAATTGAAACTTAGATAATTTAGAAAGAAAAACATTGTGATTAAACATGTCGAAGGCTTTACGCAAATCTAAAAATATAGCACCAACTGTTCCACCTTTATCAAGCCTAGATTTTATTTGCTCTGTTAAATGTAAAGTAGCTGTTTCAGTAGAATGATTTACTCTGAAACCAAATTGCATACAGTGTAAACCAACCTTAGCTGTATAAAGATAAGATGTCAGTTGTTCAAGAACTACCTTTTCTGCAACCTTTGAGACTACTGGAAGTATGCTGATAGGTCTATAGTTGCTAATCTCGAAATGATCCCCGAATTTAAAAATAGGAAAAACAATGGCTTGCTTTCATGCAAAACACTGTATTCAAATGATAAATTAATTAAATGAGAAATAACAGGAGCTAAAGTATCTTTATGAGTTTTGAGAAACTTAGTGTGTAGATGGACATCCCTACATTTAGTATTTCTTAAACACACTTCACTGTTTGACGGGCCAGGTAAATCCACAGGAAATCCCCAGGCACTCACCTCATCGTGAGGCCGCCGAGGCCGTCCCCAAATGAAGCTCAGGATCAAATGAGGATTCAGAACAAGAATCGTTTTGTGCAATCTTCAGACTTAAATGAATATAATGTGACTTTTGTTGTTCTTATTATCACAGGTAGTTGTGTTCCAGTTCAAGCCAAAGAGTCATGGGGATATGTGGATGTCCGTGATGGAGCTCATATGTTCTGGTGGCTCTATTACGCCAATAGCTCCAGTGCCAGTTATAAAGATCTACCTCTGGTTATGTGGCTGCAGGTTTGTCACTCATCTGC